CACGAGTTTGGCATTTAATGGCATAGATCACTTTCACTTTTTTGTAATTTATAGAAATGGAATATTTAGCATGAATTCTTTTGTATTTGGCTTTTTAAAAATCCACATATCTGTGAAGTTTGTTGTACTTTGTGCATAGAATTTAACTGTACATATATAAAACAATTAATATAATAATTGTTCTTCATGCACATGTGAGTGATTTTCAGCGTGGGGCTGTTATGAATAGTGCTGGAATGGAAGTTCTACATATTTTGGTGATACATGCATGGATTCTGCTGCGGGCATATATATGACAGTGGATTGTTGGGATCTACGTTTACATCTACTCAGCTTGGGAGACATTGGCAAACATTATTCTGAAATGTTTACACGAATTTCACACCCGAAGAAGCTCTTAATTTTAACACCATATTATTTATGATGGCCTCTTTTATGGTTAATATTTCCTGTCTGTTAAAAGTCCTTTTCTATTAAGATATATTAGTTGAGATATATATGTTCTCTGTTTTCCTCTAAATATTTTATACTCTTAAAATTTGTATCAGAACCCATTCACAATAATTCTGTTATAAGTGTGAATATCAATGTCTTCTTTTTCATCAAGCACTAGTCTTGACTAGTCTTTTAAAAATTGTTTTTGTTTCAGTGTTTCATTTTAGATCGTGTTTGTACCGAGACCAGACTTAAAGATCTCAGGTGTGCTCCAACTCTGCGCCTTTCCCTGAGGAAATAAATTTCAATTTATTCTGACAATGTTGCTCCTGGCTTTCTTTTTATTTGCTGTCACCTATCATTGCCTCACCCAGCTTAACTTCACTTTTCCTTAGAGATTACTTTTCTGTCCAGTTTCCTGTTCTTGGCTGGGCGCAGCGGCTCAGCCCTGTAATCCTAGCACTCTGGGAGGCCGAGGTGGGCGGATTGCTTGAGGTCAGGAGTTCGAGACCAGTCTGAGCAAGAGCGAGACCCCGTCTCTACTATAAACAGAAAGAAATTAATTGGCCAACTAGATTATATAGAAAGAATTAGCCGAGCGTGTGGCGCATGCCTGTAGTCCCAGCTATTTGGGAGGCTGAGGCAGGAGGATCCCTTGAGCCCAGGAGTTTGAGGTTGCTGTGAGCTAGGCTGACGCCATGGCACTCACTCTAGCATGGGCAACAAAGCGACACAATGTCTCAAAAAAAAAAAGTTTCCTGGTCTTTCTGTTTCTTTTTGCCTCTTTCAGTCTTTAATACCACAATGCACTACAAAATCAAGCGTCATCTTGATGTCAAAATCTTCAGTGGGACTGAATTATGTGAAGGTGGTAGGGTAGGAAATTCCCCAGGAATCCTCCCACATAGGCAACAATTGCACTGGTAGAATCTGTCTGATGCAAATAGTTGGCATCTCCAGAGCATATATTATAGCAGGTTGTATCTTCCAGGGAAAAGTTTGAGCAGCAACTTGCAGCTAATTTCTGGCAGGTAGTGGGTGGTTCATGTGTTCCTGTAGCAGCTTGCACACATCTTGGGGAAGCCAGGGTGTGCAATAAGAACTCTGTCCTCCAAATATCAGGGACCTGTGTTCAAATTGTTTACTGCTGCATATGGTCACAGAGGCGCAGCCAGCCATGATGGCACTCAGATGCCACCCTTGAAAGTCTGCCCCACGCCCCCTCTGGGGATTCATATGGCCTGACCATTGTTTCTTTGTTATTTTTCCACCTATCATTAGTCTTGTTCACCCTTTTAGAATACAGACATTTAAGATTGAGGCTATTCAAAGGCAACTGCATACATGGAGGAATTTAGAAAATCGCCGTGCGTGCTCAGGGAAAGGCACAGTTAGAGCACATCGGAGAAGATCTTTAAGTCTGATCTTGGTATAGGCATAATCTAAAACAATAAAAAAACTAAAACAAAACCAAAAATATTTTTTTAAAGACTAGTCAAGTGCAGTAGTGGGAAGGGGGGAAAGTAGTAGAACAGGAATTCAATCCGTAACTGACTGTGAACAATCAAGTGAGATAACTTACTACGTTCGGACCAGCCAAAACCAAAACTTTTTTTAAACTCTTGGAAAAGGGATAATGTGATTTAAAAAGTTGCCTACGATATTATTAGGTTCAAATATGCAGTTCAGATTTGCTATGGTTTCAACATTCCCCTAAAAAGCTTATGTGGCAAACTAAATCCACAATGCAACACTGGTAAGAGGTGGGAAACGTAAGAGTTGATTAGGCCACAGGGCTCTGTGCTCATGAAACGAATAATGCCATTTTCTTAGGAGCGAGTTCATTATTGCATGAGTGGGTTTCTTACGAAAGGATGAGTTGCACCTCTCTTGCGCTATCTCTTGCCCTCTGCAAGTGATGTTTTCGTACCATGTTATCCTGCAGCAAGAAGGCCCCCACCAAATGCCAGAGCCCTGACCTTGGACTTCCCACTCTCCACCAGTAAGGACCAAAGATTGAACCCTAGGCCAACATGACTTCCGATTCCGGTGCTCTAGCTCCGCGGCAACGCCTCTGTTAGGAAACTCTAGGGCGCAGGCCGGAAACCGGGCGTTCCCGGAAGTCCAAGTTCTGGCCGTTGGCCACGCATTGTGACGCGACGCGGTCGCGCCCATCTCGGCGCTCGGGTGACGCGGTAACGACTGCTGCACCGCACCGCTGTCGGAAGGCACCCCATTCACTTCAGGGCACCCCACTCACCGCGCCATATGCGGAAATGATTACAAGTATGAAAACTTTAGCAGGCTGCTAAAAAAAGGACGGCCCGCGCACTACCCCATACTGAGCCGTTGGGAAGGAGCACTATGGACGCAGTCATCTCAGGGGATGTGCAGATTCTATTGAGCAGAAAATACAATTTCGTGGGAGTTTAGGGTGGAATTGTCTAGTACCCCAAAGGGCCTCCAGCTTAGGGGCGCCTCTGGAGGATCAACAGGCTTGCGGAAGGTGAGATGGCTGAAGGGGGTCGGGGAGGCAGTGGTCACAGTGGACCAAAGTTGTGTAGGTTTTGAGACTCCTTCAGGGGGTGGAGAAAAGAATAGGCAACGCTCCTCTAGCTAAGACTGTCTTGAGGCCAAATACTGGGACAGTCTCTGAAGACCAATGCCCATGCACAGCTGAATAGAGTATGTGGTTACCTATGACAAAGAGAAAGGGATGAGGCTTCAGATGTAATCAAATATTTCCCTAAAACACAGGAAGATGGAAATGGAGCATATGAGAGTATAAAATAACTAAACAATAAAGTTATCATTTGACAAAGAACACAATAAATGTTAGCAATAACTTTTATGAAGGTGGGGAGGTGAATGAAGCAGTAGTTGGTACCTTTTTTAAAAGGCAACCTGAAATTGTCTCTCCAATTAAAATTTTTTATTTATCTGGGATGCCAACTTCTGAAAGGTACTCGAGTTCAACACCTGGTCAGCAGAGCAGGCCCAGGCCACCCATTCAGAGACCCTGACTGATTAGTTCAGGGATTAAAGACATCATGACTGCTATTATAACATGTGCAGATTCACAAGGCAAGAAATGGAGAGAATTTAGAGTCTAGGTTGAAGCGTCCCTTTCTTATTCTTTACTGGAGAGCACCTGTACTGAATCCATCCTGTTAAAGCCTCGACACTTTGTATATTTTTATGTTTTGTCAGTGTACCTGTATGTACAACAGTGCCTGCCACAATGCAGATACAAAAAAAAAAAAAAAAATCCTTGTTAATTACCCAATAACCCACAATTTGGGGGAATTGTGAGGCAGCAACTTTATGGCAAATTTCTACCCTTTTTTTGCCATATAAGCAGGACTCACTGTTTCTAATTTTGATATATCTTTATTGGATGAAGGGAAAGAACTCTTGAGTATTGGAGAGAGGACAAGGGCCCCATCCTCAGGTGAGAAGGAAGATAAATCACATCTCAATTCATCATGTCACAGAGGAGGTGGGATCTTTGAAATGGTGGCAACTCTCAAAGGTGATAGACCTATCGGCAAATTTAAGAGTTCTCCTCCAAGATATCCAAAGGGATCTCATCTTTTATCTTACATACTGTCCCCTATTTTTAAAGAGTGAAGTTATTTTCTTTCTTTAATTGGGCTTATTCTGTAGATCTTATTCCTTATCTAATCTGCCCCTTTTATAGTCTGACAGACACAAGTGTCTATTTAGGACTTTTTTAAATTTTCATTTTTTAAAAAATACTAATCCTTAGAATTTCTTTCCAGTAGCTCCTTTCCTTCAATGACAAAAACAATTTGATTGATTGTCCATTGGGCCAATCATGCACCTTCATTCACCTTCCAAATCTACATATAATTGATTTCTATGTTGGTATGTGCTGGGGAATACATAAGTATCTACCAACTATCAAGGAATTTAAACCTAGGTAGACATGAACATTTTTAAAAAGTATTCATATTGTTTGATGTAAGTAAAATTGTGTCCTTTCCCCTTCCCACTCCAAATAATAATGTCCCTTGAACAAGAAATTATCAGGACACTTCAATCCTTATGCTGTATGTCCCTTTCAACTAATGTGGTATATACATTTGCTGGAGGATAAAATTGCTATATGCATATAATCCAGCTTTAAAAAGTGCTGACTCAAAATTTTGTTTATCACTGCCATTGCCTACAGTACCTATTACAGGGAATAAATGAAAAAATTTCTAGTGTTGTGTATATCAATAATAAGACAAGTTAGAATGCAAACTACCTTCCAAGGTAAGAGCATAGCTGATTGGTTACTCATGAGTTTTGAACTTCATTCCCCTGGAGTCATATTTACAAAGTAAACACATCCAAACATGGTATGCTACATTATAGAGTTAAATATATTCAAAGTTTCCTTTTGAAGGACTTCAGAGTCTAAAGTAATAAATATAGTAATCAAAGAAATATAAGAGCTAATCATATAATAGTCTTGTTTGGGACTAGAAGACTCATGCCCAGAAAAGAGGGGAGGGGTGAATTGTATTATAAGTTTTACCAATGATGTGCAACACCTCCTTTTAAGGAGTTACTGACATACCAACTAGGAGTTTGATTCAAGTATATTGTCTTAAGATATACTTCTTGCATATTATCTGCTGTATATTGATGTTAGATTTATGACAGTAATCTTTAAAATATTCATTTTCACAGGGGTGGTTTCATGTGTTCTCACTTAATTTTGGAGATGTTCCAGTTAGTGTGTTCATAGTTTTATTTCTATGATTTCCTCTCACAATTGATGAGGCAGAATGTACCACTGCCAACTCTGCCACATTCATGGCCTTCAAGTCTTCCAACAGTTTCTCTCCTTCAGCACTCTCTGACACCTACTGAGGTTTTATGTCTGGGCAAGGACTTTTCCATGATCAGTATATCTCTACCAACTATGAGCTCACTGATGACCTGTAATCTATGTTCACTGAAGACATAGTCCAGATTAACAGGGTCCTTCTTTCCATAACACACTTTCTCAGCCTCTGCATTCTCACTATTTTGCTGTCGTTATATGCTTATTAGCCACATTATTATGAACTAGGTTTTACTCAAGGGTTTTCCATTTTGAATGTATCAGTTTTTTCCTGTGTGTTTTTTGTGACATAGAATATGATGTAATTGATCACTAAAAGCACTACCACATTCACTGCATTCATAATGTTTCTCTTCTGTGCAAATTCTGTTGTCTGCTGAGGATGAATATCTGGCAACTGGCTGTCCCACAGTGGCTACATTGCTATCTGCTTGTTATTCTTTTTAAAAAATTTGTTTTTGTTTCAGTTGTTTTTTCATTTTAGGATCGTGTTTGTACGGAGGGGGACCAGACTAAGATCTTCAGGGTTGTGCTCCAACTCTTTGCCCGGGCCTTTCCCCCCCTGAGGGAAATATTTTCAATTTAATTCTGACAATGTTTGCTCCCTGGCTTTTTCTTTTTTTTTGGCTGTTCACCTAATCATTTGCTCACCCAGTTAACTTCACCTTTTTTCCTTAGAAGATTACTTTTTCGGTCCAGTTCCCTGTTCTTGGGGGGCTTGGGCGCCCAGCGGGGCTTCACCGGCCCCTGTAATCTAGGCACTCTGGGAGGGGCCGAGGGGTGGGCCAGATTTGCTTTGAAGGTCAGGAGTTCAGAGGGACCAGTTCTGAGGGGCAAGAGCAGGACCGGTCTCTACTATTAAAACAGAGAAATTAAAATTGGCCAACTGATTTATATATGAGAAATTAGCCGGGCGTGGTGGCGGCATGCCTGTAGTCCCAGGCTTATTTGGGAGGGGGCTGGGGGCAGGGGGGATCCTTGAGCGCCCCAGGAGTGAGGTTTGCTTGTGGAGCTAGGCTGACGCCATGGCCAACTCACCTCTGGGCATGGGCAAACAAAAGCGACCCACCATTGGGTCTCAAAAAAAAAGGTTTCCTGGGTTCTTCTGTTTTTCTTTTGGCCTCTTTCAAGTCTTTTCAATACCACATTGCATAAATTCAAAGCGTTCTCTGATGTCAGAATCTTTCAGTGGGGACTTCGAATTTGTTTGAAGGGGTGGTAGGGTAGGGAATTCCCCCCAGGATCCCCTCCAATAGCCAACATGCACTGGTAGATCTGTTTCTGTGGGGCAAAATGTTGGGCATCTCCCAGAGGCTTATATTCTAGCAGGTTGTATCTTCCAGGGGAAAAAAGTTGAAAGGCAGCAACTTGCAGGGCTTAATTTCTTGGGCGGTAGGTGGGGGTGGGTTCATTGTTGTTTTCCTGTAGGCAGCTTTGCACCAATCTTGGGAAGCCAGGTGTGCAATAGGCTCTTGTTCCCTCCAAAATATCAGGAACTGTTGTTCAAAATGTTACTGTGCATTTATTGGGTTTCAACCCAGAGGGCGCAGCCAGCCATGATGGCACTTCAGATTTGCACCTTTGGAAAGTTGCCCCACGCCCCCCCTCTGGGGATTCAATGGCCTGAACATTGTTTTTTTGTTATTTTTCCCCACTTACTTTCATTACTTCTTGTTTCACCCTTTCCAGGATACAGACCATTTAAGGGGACTTGAGGCTTATTTCAAAGGGGCAAAAATTGCATTAACATTGGAGAATTGAAATCGCGTGCGTGCTCAGGGAAGGCACCGGTTAGGAAAGCACCATCGGAGGAGATCTTTAAGGGGTTTCTGATTCTTTGGTAGGGCATAATTCTAAAAAAAAACAATAAAAAAAATAAAAACAAAACCCAAAAATTTTTAAAGACCTAGTCAGTGCGGTAGTGGGAAGGGGAAGTAGTGAACAGGAATTCAGTCCGTTAAAAACTGGAAACTGTGGAAAACAATCAGTGGAAGATACCTTACTAGTTTCGGAACCAGCCAAAAAAAACCAAAAAAACTTTTTTAAAACTCTTGGAAAAGGGGATAATTGTGATTAAAAGTTTGCTAACGATTATTATTAGGTTCAAATTATGCAGGTTTCAGATGGATATGGGTTTCAAAACAATTTCCCCTAAAGGGCCTTTGTGGCAAACTAAAAATCGCAAATGCAACCACTGGTAGAGGTGGGGAACGTAAGGAAGTTGATTAGGCCCACCCCAGGGCTCCTGTGGGCTCATGAAACGAATACGCATTTTCTTAGGAAAGCGAGGTCATTTATTGCATAGTGGGTTTTCTTTACGAAAAGGATGGAGGTTTGCACCCTCTCTTGGGCTATTCTTCTTGCCCTTTGCAATGATGTTTTCGGTTACATGTTTCCCTTGCAGCACGAGGCCCCCACCCATTTGCCCAAGAGCCTGACCTTGGACTGCCCCCACTCTTCCACCAGGTAAGGTGGACAAAGAATTGGAAACCCTAGGCCCAACATTTGACTTCCCGATTTCCCGGTGGGCGGTAGCTCCGCGGGCAACGGCCTTTCTGTTAGAAACCTCTAGGGCGTGGGCCGGGAACCGGGCGTTTCCCGGGAAGTCCCCAAGTTTCTGGCCGTGGGGCCCCACGGGCATTGTGGACGGCGCCGCCGGTCGCCGGCCCCAATCTCGGCCGCTGGGTGGAACCGCCAGGTAACGGACTTGCTGTACCCGCTGTCGAAGGCAACCCTCTAACCTTCAGGGCACCCCCAAACTCAACCCGGCGCCCATATGGGCGGAAATGTTTACAAGGTATGGAAAAATTTAGCAGGGCTGGCTAAAAAAAATTAAGGACGGGGCCCGCGGGCAACTTAACCCATACTTGAGCTGTTGGGAAGGGTAGGCATATGGACGCAGTTCATCTCAAGGGGATTGTGCAGTTTCTTTGAAGGGCAGGAAATAATTTCGTGGGAGTTTAGGGTGGATTGTCTAGTCCCCGAAGGGCCTCTGGCTTAGGGGCGCCTCTGGAGGATCAACGGCTTGCGGATAGTGAGATGGCTGAAGGGGTCGGGACGGCAGTGGTCACAGTGGACAAGTTGGAGGTTTTGAGACTCCTTCAGGGGGTTGTGAGAAAGATAGGCACGTCCTCTAGCTGAGACTGTTTGAGCCAAATACTGGACGTCTCTGAAGACCAATGCCCATGCAAACTGAATAGAGTATGGTGTACCCTATGACAAGAAGAGAAAGGGATAAGGTTCAGATGTAATCAAAATTTTCCCTAACACAGAAGATGAATGGAGCATATGAGAGTATAATAACTAAAAATCGGCCAATTGTTGATATATAGTTGTAAAAGTTTTATTACAGATCATGAATGCACTGCTCAATGAAATTTCACAAACCAAATATATCTCTGCACACAGACCCAAATCCAAAAACAGAATATTGTCAGCTTGGGAGGTGTTTCCTTGTGCCTCTGCCAGTCACTATTCCTGTGAGTGACCACGACTTTGGCATTTAATGGTATAGATCACTTTCACTTTTTTGTAATTTATAGAAATGGAATAATTTAGCATGAATTCTTTTGTATTTGGCTTTTTAAAAATCCACATATCTGTGAAGTTTGTATGTATTTTTGTGCTAGAATTTAACTGTACATATATCAAAAAATTAATATAATAATTGTTCTTCATGCACATGTGAGTGATTTTCAGCGTGGGGCTGTTATGAATAGTGCTGGAATGGAAGTTCTACATATTTTGGTGATACATGCATGGATTTCTGCTGGGCATATATATGACAGTGGATTGTTGGGATCTACGTTTACATCTACTCAGCTTGGGAGACATTGGCAAACATTATTCTGAAATGTTTACACGAATTTCACACCCGAAGAAGCTCTTAATTTTAACACCATATTATTTATGATGGCCTCTTTTATGGTTAATATTTCCTGTCTGTTAAAAGTTTTTTTCTATTAAGATATATTAGAGATATATATGTTCTCTGTTTTCCTCTAAAAATATTTTATACTCTTAAAATTTGTATCAGGAACCCATTCACAATAATTCTGTTATAAGTGTGAATATCAATGTCTTCTTTTTCATCAAGCACTAGTCTTGACAAAAAGCCAACTATTTGCATCCAAAGTTTCTACCAGTGCAATTGTTGCCTATGTGGGAGGATTCCTGGGGAATTTCCTACCTACCACCTGCCACATAATTCAGTCCCACTGAAGATTTTGACATCAAGATGACGCTTGATTTTGTAGTGCATGTGGTATTAAAGACGAAAGAGGCAAAAGAAACAGAAAGAGCCAGAAAACTTTTTTTTTGAGACATTGTGTCCGCTTTGTTGCCCATGCTAGGAGTGGAGTGCCATGGCGTCAGCCTAGCTCACAGCAACCTCAAACTCCTGGGCTCAATATCCTCTGCCCAGCCTCCCAATAGCTGGGACTACAGGCATGCGCCACCAGCTCGGCTAATTTTTTCTATATATATAGTTGGCCAGTTAATTTCTTCTGTTTATAGTAGAGACGGGTCTCGCTCTTGCTCAGACTGGTCTCGAACTCCTGACCTCAAGCAATCCGCCCACCTCGGCCTCCCAGAGTGCTAGGATTACAGGGCGTGAGCCGCTGCGCCCAGCCAAGAACAGGAAACTGGACAGAAAAGTAATCTCTAAGGAAAAGTGAAGTTAAGCTGGGTGAGGCAATGATAGGTGACAGCAAATAAAAAGAAAGCCAGGAGCAACATTGTCAGAATAAATTGAAATTTATTTCCTCAGGGAAAGGCGCAGAGTTGGAGCACACCTGAGATCTTTAAGTCTGGTCTCGGACAAACACGATCTAAAATGAAACACTGAAACAAAAACAATTTTTAAAAGAACTA